ATGCCTTGCAGTCTGGTGGGGCATTTTCAAAACATATCCTACTTCTTGCTGTGCTAGTTGGAACCCACAGTTGGAACCCACTAGGGAGGCTTTAATCTAGACCAAGTTGTGAAATATGAGAGAGCAGGCCAGTGTTTTTTAGCATTTTGACAGAAAATACTGTTGGAAGAAAAATAATGAAAGTATACCCTCAGCAGGCACTGGTTGACTGGGGCTCTTGCACAAGCGTGTTTTACACACGTGGACGCGGAGGGTAAGCGGGAGCCGTATTCGATCCGGCAGGACCCACGCTGCCTGGTTTGAATCCAGGCACTGCCACTTGGCACCTGTGTGACTCTGGAAATGTTGCCTGACCTTTCTGTGCCTCCGTTTCCCTATCCGTAAAGTGGGGATGACACTGGGAACCATTTCATAGGTTTATTGTGAAGATTCAGTGATTATCTGGCTCATAAATGCTCCATAATTGGTGGTGATTCTTGTTATTAATAATAGTGGTATAATAAACGAGGGTGAGTCAGACTTCTGTGATTTCTGGAACCATCCCACCCTGAACTGTTTCCTTCCTTACTCTGGGTCTGCCTACTTTCCATTCTGACTCGATTGCTGGTCCCTTACTGTGCCAAGCTCTCCGGCCTGCGCGGCACTCTCTGAACGGGTTGGTGCAGTTGGGGATGTGGGCGCACGTCTTGGCTGTGTTGTGAATGCCATTGTGTACGTCTTTCAGTGGCTTTTCCTGTTCATTCAGTCAGTCTCTGCTGGGCCTACTGTCTCCTCGAGCAGGCCACCTCTTCTGCCCTGGCCCCCAGTTCCCAACAGATGCTGTTGCTTCTTCCCTGACCGTTGTCCAGGCTGTCCTCAAACTCCTGGCTCAAGTGATCCTCCTACCTCAGCCTCCCAAGTGGCTGGGTCTACAGGCGTGTGCTACCACACCTGGCTATTTTTTAAATTTTTTGTATAGACAGGAGGGTCTTGCTATTTTGGTCAGGCTGGCCTCGAACTCCTGGGTTCAAGTGATTCTCCCACCTCAGTCTCCCAAAGTGCTTGGATTACAGGCATGAGCCACTGTGCCTGGCCCCTATTTTATTTTATGCTTTTTCAGTTTATTTGTTTACTTATTTTTTCTTTTAGGGTTTTTAAAGAATGTTTATTTACTTTAAGAAACTATAGAGAAACAGGGAGTAAAATTCAACAAAAGGAAGTTAAAAAATTCCAAGCTGCTTCCTAAATTATAAGCTAAAGGTTTCCCATGTGTTCTTGGGAATTTGTGTGGCCTGATTTGTCTGAGTTCTTCTCAACTCTTTCTAAAGATTCCTCGTAGGTTGTGTCTTAGTCTGTTTTCTGTTGCCATAACAGAGTACCTGAGACTGGATACTTTATAAAGAACAGGGGTTTGTTTAGCTCACAGTGTGGAGGCTGGGAGTCCAGGCTGTATCTGCTGAGGGCCTCTTACTGCTTCATAACGTGACGGGAAATGGCAGAGATCATGTGGTGAGAGAGGAGGTAAGAGAAAGCCGAGGGAGCGAGCTTGCTTTTATAGCCATCTGCTCCTCTGATAGCAAGCCCCGTCTCGGGAGAACTAGCTCCAGTGAGAAGGGCATAGATGCCTTTGTAAGCACGGAGCACCCAAGACCCAAATACCTCCTAAAGGTCCTACCACCTCTCAATCCTGTTACATTGGGGACAAAATTTAAGCATGAGTTTTGGAGGGAATAAACCATATCTAAACCATGACAGATTGTTTCTTTCTTTTCAGTTTATTGTGATCAGAACACTTAACATGAGGTCTAACCTCTTAACAAATTTTTAAGTGCACAGTACAGTATTGTCATATGTCCAGAACTCATTCACCTTGCATAACCGAAACTTTATGGCCATTGAACAACTATCCATTTCCTCCTGCCCCCAGCCCCTGGCAACCAACATTCTACTCTGTTTCTATGATTCTGGCTATTTTAGATACCTCAGATATTAATAAATAGAATCATGTAGTATTTGTCCCTTTGTGACTGGCTTATTTCATCTAGCATAGTGTCCTCAAGGTTCATCCGTGTTGTCACATGTGGCAGGATTCCCTTCTTTTACGAAGCTGAGTAATATTCCATTGTGCGTGTATGCCACAATTTCTTTATCCCTTCATCTATGCATGGACATTTAGGTTGTTTCTACATCTGGGCTTCTGTGAATTGTGCTGCAGCAAACATAGGAGTGCAGATACCTCGTCAAGATCCTGATTTCAGTTCTTTTGGATATATACTGAGAAGGGGGACTTCTGGATCATGAGAGTTCTATTTTTAATTTTTTGAGGAACCTCTGTCCTGTGTGGCAGCGCCAGTTTCATTTCTTTCCTATTGTAGTTGCTCACGCTTACAGCGCCTGACCCAGCTGACCCCTCATCTCTTCTGGAAAGTCCTTCCTCTGCGCCCTAGGGTGGAGCCCAGCTTCCTCATGGAGCAGATCCAGTGCCTGATGGACTTTTCTCTTGGGATGTCCCCCTGCTTCCCTCTATGGCTGTGTTCAAAACTGAACCTGTGAAGTTGTCCTCTCCACGCCAGTGTGTTAGCCTGCTAGGGCTGCCTAGCAAAGTGCCACAAGCTGGGTGGCTTCGACGACAGACATTTATTCTCTCTCGGTTCTGGAGGCTAGAAGTCCAAGATTGAGTCCTCAGCAAGATTGGTTTCTTCTGAGGGCTGTGAGATAATCTGTTCCATGGTTCTCTCCTGGCTTCTGGTGGTTTGCTGGAAATCTTGGGCACCCCTTGGCTTGTAGAAGCATCTCTGCCTGTATCTTCACAGGGTGTTTTCCCTGTGTGCATGTCTGTCTTTAAATTTCCTCTTTTTATAAGGACACCAGTCATATGAGTTTAGAGTTCACCCTAATGACCTCATTTTAAGTAGATTACATCTGTAAAGATCCTATCTCCAAATATATTTTGAAGTACAGGGGGTTAGGAGTTCAACATATGAATTTAGGAGGGAGTGCCAAAATTCAACACATAACATCCAGCAAACTTGCTTTTTCTCAGGTATTTCCTGTGTCAGTGAAGGACACCATGTTCGCCATGTTGCTCAAGCAAAAACTTGGGCATCTATCCTTAAATGTCCCTTGCCCTTATATTAACTTGGGTCCAAGAACTGGCAGAAATTGGAGGCAACATTTTGAAGTAGGCATCATAGATAGCATTCATCAGACACGAAGGAGTCTGTGGCTCCCAGATGACTCACAGCTTCTGCATCTTTTTGAAGTGTCTACCACCTTGGTACAAAAGTAATACATACTAATTTTAGGAAGTTACAGAAAGGTATAAAGAGGAAATTAAAAGTTATCCCATTCTATTACCCAGAATCACTTAATATTTTGGTCTTTGCTTTATACATTTTATGTCGTCATGCATTTTTTTTTTTTTTTTTACTAATTGGGATCATATTGCATGTAAGATTTTGAATCCAGCTTTTAAAATTCAACATTGGATAATTAATGTTTTCCCATATCTTCACAAAATCTTCATAAATAGTTTTAGGTGGTACATATTATATCTTATTCCATCAAATGATACAGTGATTGACTTAGATATTTTCTTAATATCCCATTGCAAACAGGCAGGTGTTGCTGTTTTTTGACTTTTATAAACAGTGCTGTAACAAAGTTTGCTTAATTTGGATACAGAATAAATAATGTGTTTGTAATTCAGACATGATTCAGCTGGGGGTGAAGGAGAAAGAGGGACACCATGTTCCTAAGCAAATTAGTGTAAATTGAAGGAAAGCTAAACCTACTGATGTATTTTAGACACTACTTATGAATAGTTACTTTGTTATTTCAAAGTTATTTTTCATTGAATTGTTAAGATAGATCATAGTAGAGTCTCTGGTCAACATTTTTCTTCTTAGCTATTTTTTTTTTGTGTGTGACAGGGTCTTGCTTTGTCGCCCGGGCTAGAGTGCAGTGGTGCATTCATAGCCCACAGCAATCCTCCCACCTCAGCCTCCTGAGTAGATGGGACTTACAGTTGCATGCCACCACTCCTGGCTAATTTTTTAAAAAAATTTTTGTAGAGGCAGGGTCTTTCTGTGTTGCCTAATCTGGTCTTGAACTCCAATCCTCCCGCCTTGGCCTCCCAGAGTGCTAGGATTACAGGTGTCAGCCACCGCGCCCGGCCAGGATCTACTTCTAAGGTGGTGTAGTTACTGGCTGGCAAGTCCATGCTTGCTGTTGGTTTCTCTCCACGCGGAGGCTTACGCTTCACCACAGCATGGAGGTTGGCTTTCAAGTGCCCCAAGAAATAGGAAGTGGAAGCTGTTCCTTAAGACCTGGGGCTGGAAACTGACAGAGAAAGCATCACTCCCAGATTATTCTGTTAGTCAGGCAAAGCACAGAATGGACATACTAAAATAAGGGATACAGACCCTAAAATAAGAAGATACAGACCTCACCTCAGAGGGCAAGCAGCATCAAAAAACTTGGGAGCTGGGTGTTAAAATTATCATGAATGGGTACAATTTTTGATTCCATTTTACAGATGAGGTAACTGAGGACAGACAGTTAAATGACTTGCTGTTATGTCTGCCAGGCAGTCTGAGATTTTAACCTTGATGCTATTTTATACCTTTCCATAACTCCTTTGCTTCACTAATTCACAATCATACCTTCCTCAGTTTTTTTGTTTTTTGAGACAGAGTCTGGCTCTTTTGCCCTGGCTAGAGTGCCATGGTGTCAGCCTAGCTCACAGCAATCTCAAACTCCTGGGCTCAAGGGATCCTCCTGCCTCAGCCTCCCGAGTAGCTGGGACTACAGGCATGCGCCACCATGCCCGGCTAATTTTTCTATATATTTTTAGTTGGCCAATGAATTTTTTTCTATTTTTAGTAGAGACGGGGTCTCGTTCTTGCTCAGTCTGGTTTCCAACTTCTGACCTTGAGCGATCTACCTGCCTGGGCCTCCCAGAGTGCTAGGATTACAGGCGTGAGCCACTGTGCCTGGCCCCTTCCTCAGGTTTTTCATGGTACAATAATTATGAAATTCAGTGAATGGTACATGTTTGTAAATCACAAGACTCTGTGAATATGGAATATCCATAAGGGTTTGCCAGATGTCAGATGTGGGGTGAAGACATATTCTCCACCCCTGACTTGGGGAGGCTGTGTGGCCCTAGTTCTGAGTCCTTCGCTGTCATCCCTGTCCCCATTGCCCCAGAAGAGAACGTGTGATCCCTCCAGTGAGACAGACGGCGGTTCTGAGTGAGACTCCCTGCTCAGCGAGCTGCCCACTTTGTGTGGAGTGTGTGCTATCAAAAGAAATAAATAAGCACAACTTACGTAGAATTGTAAAAGGAGTTAAATAAATGTTTCTGGTTTTTACTGAAAGTAAGGCTTGAGGTTAAACCCTAATTTAGATGGTATATCTGTATATATTTAGTGACATCTGTTTATTTATTATAGTGATTCTTGGGGGAGAAACCAGAAAAAAATAGGTTATTCCAAATTCTAGAGGTTTTCTGATAAAATAATGCCTGCAACCTCTTACAACCTAAGAAACCAGTCATTTCCTTTCATGCTCAAAGTCGCTGCATACTTCCATGAGGAGGAGAGGCAGCCCTTTGCCCGTGGCCCCTGGTTTGCAGAGAAAGCTTCTGTTCCATGCTGCTTGCTGCGGTGATGAACCACGGTCATTTCCTGCCTAGTATTTGCCCCCAGTATAGTCACTACAGCACATTTCCTCACCAAAATTCTCTTGAGAAAGCTTATAATTAAATGTGTCTAGCTTCCTCGTTTCTGGGCGTCTTAGGTGGTATGTGCACGTCCCCAGGCAGACCCTCATTGTGTCCCTCAGACCCAGAGTCTCCAAGTGCCGAGGCTCGTTTCCGCCACCTCCGCGGCTCTCCTAGGCCCTGCCTCCCGGCCGCCCTCGCTCTCCCGGCGGGGCTGTGCGGCTGCTCCGCACCCTTCTGCCTGTGGGCTGGTGGGCACACCAGGCCGCGCTCCGGCTCCCGCTGCCTGGAGCCCCGCGTGCCGCCGAGGCCCGCCCTGCCCCTCGGCGGAGTCCCGCCTTCCGTGGTGCCCTCACGGCCCGCCCAGGTCAGAGGTGGGCCGCCATTCCTCTCTCCCCTTCCACGGCTTCCGCGTGGTGCCCTCACGGCCCGCCCAGGTCAGAGGTCGGCCGCCATTCCTCTCTCCCCTTCCACGGCTTCCGCGTGGTGCCCTCACGGCCCGCCCAGGTCAGAGGTGGGCCGCCATCCCTCTCTCCCCTTCCACGGCTTCCGCGTGGTGCCCTCACGGCCCGCCCAGGTCAGAGGTCGGCCGCCATTCCTCTCTCCCCTTCCACAGCTTCCGCGTGGTGCCCTCACGGCCCGCCCAGGTCAGAGGTCGGCCGCCATTCCTCTCTCCCCTTCCATGGCGCCGCCGTCCGCCTGCCTGTCGGCGTGTTGTGGCTGTTTCTCAGGCCACCCTGCAAACGCCAAGTGGCAGGGGCCGCGCTGTGTCGTTCTCTGTACCCACGCCCTCGGTGGCGCTCGCACGTAACCGGCATGCCGTTATGTTTGTTGGGATCTGTGAACGGATAAACAAATGTACATGCTTCCATTTTGTTTGCACCCTGAGCCACAACGTTGATGCCGTCCCTGATTTCTCCCTTTTCTTCACCTGTGGATCTGTTAGTTTACTAAATCCTTCTAGAACATAAGCTCCGTGACGAGACTCTTTGCTTTCCTCAGAGTGGTGCGCTTGTGTCATGCGTGCCCAGAGTAGGGCCAGGCATGTGGGTGAGCATTCACTATGTTGCAGAAATGGCTCTAAGTGTTTTATGTGTAATAATGCAATAATTTATTTCACCTTCATGGCACCCCTAGAAGGGTGGGCAGGTACTATGAGCATCCCCATTTAATAAGAAATCAAGGCATTGAGATGTTCATTTATTGTCCGTTGTCACACAGCTGCTAAGTGCTGGAGCTGGGAAAAGAACTCAAGTCCCCTAGGTCCAGGCTCTTAACCACTAAGTACTGTGCTATACTCCCACCTAAGGTCTGCGTGTTCTGTGCTGGATACGTCACCGAAACCCTGTACATCCGTTCCACACCACGTGCGTGCTCGTGCAGATGAAGAAGCAGAAGCTGGCTTCAGGAGGTTTAAGAAAAGGTGGCCCAGGGTGGGACCCAGTTCCTGCGTAGCAGGGACAGGAGGTGACGACTCAGACTGTTCCAAGTCTGAGCTGGGGCTCTCGCCCTCGGGCCTGTGCTGCCAGGGCCACCAGTCTGCGCGGCCGGTGGCTTTGGGAGCAGACACCGACTTACCGCGAACATTTCCTGAGGGTCATCAGGCTCTTCTTGCCCCCAGCAAATGTGTGACCCAGCGTCTTGTTTCCGTAGACAGCCACACATTGCAGTCGAGGACAGAGGCCACCCCGTCGCCCACTGACAGCCCGGGGAGTGGACACCCCGAGTACATCGCATACGCGCTGGTGCCTGTGTTCTTCATCACGGGCCTCTTTGGCGTCCTGGTCTGCCACCTGCTGAAGAAGAAGGGCTACCGCTGCACCACAGAGGCTGAGCAGGACGCCGGCGGGGAAAAGGCTGACAAGATAGGTGAATGGCCTGGGTTCTGTTCTTGGGGCGCGGGGTGATTTTTAAATAAGAAACTAGTGAGCTATATTAATACTTTCCATCTTACTGAGGCAAAATGATGTATTTCGCTGGCAGGTGGTGTGATGTGAGTGTGAATTTCACAGCAATCACACCTAGAGTTCCAGGTAATTTGCCCTTGCTTGTCCTGTGGCCTTGGACAAGTTAGGTATGCTTTGAGTATCTGCTGTGTATAATTAACTTAAATTTATTTTTAATTAATTTAATTTTATTAAATTGACATTGTAATTGAATTGAGATGAGGACAACAATCCCCACCTTGTAGGGTTATTATGAAATTTAGAGAGAAGATACATTTGGTGTTTGGCACATGTGGCCACTCAGTAAATATTAATCCATACTATTATTATCTATTTATTTATTTTTTGTGAGATAGGGCCTCACTCTGTCACCCAGGCTGGAATGAAGTGGCGTCAGCCTAGCTCATAGCAACCTCAAACTCCTGGGCTCAAGCCATCCTCCTGCCTCAGCCTCCTGAGTAGCTGGAACTACATATGTGTGACTCCACACCCAGCTAATTTTTCTGTTTCTAGTAGAGACGGGTCTCGCTCTTAATCAGGCTGGTCTCGAACTCCTGAGCTCAAGCAATCCTCCAGCCTCAGCCTCCCAGAGTGCTAGGATTACAGGCATGAGCCACCGCCCCAGCACCTTACTGTTGTTCTTGAATCAGATTCTAGTAAGAATGAAGGAAAAATTAAATGTCTTACCATTTTTGTGTCCTCACTTTTGTTGCGGGCGTTCTATCTTAAATCTTTGTGGCAGGAATGTGCATTTGTTCAGGGAGTGACTGTGTGGCCAGAATTGGGCCTTGGCATGAACTTCAGGATGTCTCACCTTTTCCTCTTAACTCGGACTTGCTAGGTAGTGTTCGGAAAACCCAAGAGAAGAAATCCTATTTTCTCTACTGGTGTTTCTTTCCAGTCATCCTTTAGGGAGCTTTCCTGACTTGGGCGTTGAGGGACAGGTCTCTAAGTGTCCCTTTCAGCCCTATAAGGGCGGTTTTTGCAGACAGATGACATTTGGAGTAGGTCTCCCTTCAAGCAAGCCTGCAGGGCTGGACGGAGGGAGTTCCTCATTCCTTGCCAGCTTGCTGGACTGTTGGTTTTTCCCACCCCCACTGACCTTTGAGGCAGGATGAGTCATGTGCAAGCTTCTGAGCAAACGGAAGCTGAGTGTTTGTCAACAGAAAGTGGAGCCTCCTCGCCTCCTTCATGGGCACTCTGCAGTTGGCTTAGCAGTCAGCTTTTGCACCGACACCAAATATGCATATTCACGTGGGAGGGAAGCTGACCTTTGCACGGAGAAGATATTTTTCCAGGTAAATAGGTAGGACACCTTGATTCATTCTTTGTGAACTAGAATGGAGTATATTAGCCCTCCCTCTTCCTTCTTGTCTTATTGAAACAAATTTTACAGATTGGTTTCAGAGCATAGGTTTGCTTTTTGTCAAAGACCATCACATATTCTGCTGGTACAAAGTCTTCCAAAGTAAACTGAGTTTATGGAAAAACAAGGCCAAAATTTAGGTGACTTGGAAGTGTATGTAAAAGGACAGGAGGTGGGGTGTGTTGGCTCACGCCTGTAATCCTAGCACACTGGGAGGCTGAGGCAGGAGCTTGAGCCCAGGAGTTTAAGACCAGTTCAATAACAAGAGTGAGACCTCATCTCTACAAAAAGTAGAAAAAATTAGCCAGGTGTGGCAGTGCCTGTAGTTCCAGCTACTCAGGAGGCTGACTCGGGAAGATCACTTGAGCTCAGGAGTTTGAGGTTGCAGTGAGCTGTGATAACACCACTACACTCTAGCCTGGGTGACAGAGCAAGACTCCGTCTCAAAATAAAAAAGGACAGGAGAGTCCTGAGGCTGAGCTCCATGACTCACTGTAATCCCAGCATTTGGGATGGGAGGATCACTTGAATCCAGGAGTTTGAAATCAGCCTGGGCAATAGCAAGACCCTAGGTCTACAAAAATAAAGAAAAATTAGGTTGGTGTGATTATATGGACTTATGGTTCCAGCTACTCAGTAGACTGAGGCTAGAGGATTGCTTGAGCCCAGGAATTTGAGGTTGCTGTGAGCTATGATGGCACCAGTGTACTCTAGCCCGGGTGACAGAGAGAGACCCTGTCTCAAAAGAAAAAAAAAAGACAGGAGAATTTTATAAACATAGATGAGTAATTGTCCAATTTAAAAAAGAAATTAATACTCAATTTATATAACAGCCTGCAATTAAAATAAAATTTAAGGAGAATTTTTTATTTTAAATTCACTTTCTTCCCATTTTTGTAAGGGTTGAAGAAAGAACATGATGAGAGAGACATAATAGTAATGGAGACCACACAGATGCATTTCCAGGCTGTCGACATGGAAAGAGAGTGGGGGTTTGGACTTGAGAAGGGACTGGTGGGCAGCTCTGATACTTTCTATTTATGCTTATCATGCTAAGGACGTCTCAGGCGTTAGGGAGTTTGTTTGCATTAGGAAGTTTCTTCTAAGGAAGAAAGCCTAGGGTGATCACAAGAGGTTTCTGGAAACAGTTCAGTGAGATCTTGGGCTGTAAGACTAAATGTCTGATTGACATGATGTCAGTGACCAATTGTAACCTGTTCTATCCTCTTTTCTCTTTCAGAATTGAACGATAGTATAAATGAAAACAGTGACACTGTTGGGCAAATTGTCCATTACATCATGAAAAATGAAGGTATGAATATTTTAGTGTTCCAGAACAATTCAGTGTTCATGTATTGTATTAAAAACCTGCTTTGAAGATCCAGGATCTGTATGGACTCCCTTGTCGATTTTCCCTAAGCTCCCGGACACCTGTGCATGAGTGAGCTCTCGAAGCGTCAGCTGGTACCCGCCGCACAGGCAGCTTGTGTTCAAATCCGGCTTCGCCCCTTACTGGCTGTGTGTGATTTGGGGAAAGTCACATTACCTTATGAAGCCTCAGGGTCCTCATATAAAACGAGGGTAATAATAATATTTACCTCAGGGCACTGTTATGATGTCACACACATAAAGTGCTCACTATAGTAAACACTCAAATATTGTCTCTTCCATTTTTTGTACTAAAAAAATTGAGGGAAAATACACATAACACAAAATTTACTGTTGTAACTATTTTAAAGTGTACAATTCAGTGGCATTAAGTACATTCACGATGTTGCACAAACACCATGCTATCTAGTTCTAGAACTTTTTTTTTTTTTTTTGAGACAGAGTCTGACTCTGTTGCCCTGGCTAGAGTGCCCTGGCATCAGCCTAGCTCACAGCAACCTCAAACTCCTGGGCTCAAGCGATCCTCCTGCCTCAGCCTCCCAGGTAACTGGGACTATAGGCATGTGCCACCATGCCCAGCTAATTTTTTCTATTTTTTAGTTGTTTTGGCTAATTTATTTCTATTTATAGTAGAGAAGGGGTCTCGCTCTTGCTCAGGCTGGTCTTGATCTCCTGAGCTCAAGTAATCCTCCCACCTCGGCCTCTCAGAGTGCTAGTATCAGTTTGGACCTCCCTGTTGATATTTTCCATCTTTGACAAATTGGAATTAATTTTCTATTTTTAAAAAATTATAAGCATGCAGTAACTTTTCTTTTAAAACAAGGAATAAAATTAAGCATAATCTGTCCATTACCCATTTTCCCATGTGTATTTAGGTTTTCTTTTCGTAGATTCATGTATTTTTAAACATTTGTGATCGTGATAAATGAACGGTTTTCTGCTCTGCGTTTGTAATTGGCAAATGGGATAATATTAGACTTGTACTCGTAGTGACATTCTTATTTATTGTTTAAACCCCTCATGTCTTTATTGTTCGAAGTCAGTTGTAGTTTAGACAAACATCTCTTTAAGGATGAACTGCTGGGCAAACACACTTTGCTTCTCTGCCCTCTCACACAACACTTCTGACACAAGGTGTGTGGGTTTTTCTACACTAAGCAATTTTCCAACTCCCCGAATATCAGCCAGATGTCCTTCAATTCAACACAGTTCTGACACTGTCTACCTGAAGTTGGCATCAGATCCCATGAGTTAAGAGCTCAGTCCCAAAAGACTGCCCCTACCTTAGATGCAGTTGAAAGTTGAGTCTCCAGTGCATGTGACCTGCAGGCCATAAATCTGGGGGTTTCCGTAACCCCCTCCTCGAGCTTGAAAATTTGCTCAAATGGCTCACAGAACTCAGGGAAACACATTATTACATTTACTGGCTTATTATGAAGGATGCAACTCAGGAACAACCAGATGGAAAAATGCATAGGGCAAGGTATTGCAGGGGCATGCCACCTTCCCAGCACCGCCAGGAGTCCAGCCACCTGGAAGCTTCCAGAATCTTGTTGTTCCAGAGTTTTTAATCTCCAGCCCCAGGACCACCCCCACCCCCAATTTTCCAGAGATCCCTGGGCGGGGCTGAGTTCCAACCTTCACCTCACCCTGTCTTTCTGTTGACTGGCCCTACCTTGAGGCTATCTACCCCACCCTCAACCACACTCCCCTGTGATCTTAGAGGCTCATTATAAATAACAAAAGACTCCAATCACTCAGGAAATTCCAAGGGTTTTAGGAGCTCTTTGCCCTGAACTTGGGACAAATACCAAATTTGTTTCATGTTATCATGTCTGCACACTGATTATTTTCCTTCTGATCCCGAAGGTTGGATTAACCACAACGCTATCTTTTAATTTATCTTTCTAAATGTAGCTGAATTGAATATTGTTTGGGAGCTGGGAGTTTTCTTGCATGGCGTGAAGTTTGGAAAGTGCCTGGGCCTCTGTGGGAGTGTCTCTGGTGGGCCCTTGAGCCGTTGGCGGTAGTAAAAGGGGAGGAGGGCACCACCTTCATTGCTAAGCACCCTGGATTATTCACACTGCTCTAGACCCTTGGATGTTTTTACCTTGGGGCTCAATTTATATTTATGGCAGAATGGATTTCTTTATAAACTACTGTTGCTGAAAGCACAGCCACTTGTCCTCGAGGCTGCAGGAGGGGAGGAGGAAAGAGAAGTTTTATTACTTTGCCAGCAAAGGAGGAGGATGGAGACTCCTGTCTGAAATGCCGTCCTGCTGACTATAAGCAGAAATACAGAGCTTATAAAGGGCGGGTTCTCAGCTTCAGGCCATTGCTGTTAGCTGCAGTCACTAACTCCAATCATGCCATCTCCGCTGAAGACCTGAAGACAGCTCTTGGCCTCTGCCCAGAACCTCCCTTTACCAGGTCTGGGCTGGGCCACCTCCTGATTCACAAGTAACAAAAAAGACCCCAAGACCCCTTCTCAAAAAGAAGTGGAGGATGTTTTAAAGAGACAGAAAATATTTTTGCGATTTTCCCAGGCCATTCCCTCTGTTACAGTACTATGATTATTAAGTGGGTTCTGAAACTTGCTGTGACAATTATGCAGACCTGCTGTGAGCTGTTATTCAACCTGTGTCCCTTTGGGTGGAGACTTGGACACTGAGGGTAGGAAGGAAAGTGTTGGGGCAAAAGCACCCTCTAGAGTCAGACTAGCCAGGGTTTGTGTCCAACTCTGTCTCTGTCTTGGTTCCTCTGACCTGGTCAGTTATGATCTTTAGGCCTCAGTCTCAGTATCTATAAAATGGGGATGATAATTCTACCTACTGTGAGTTATGTCAGAAGAGTCCGACAGGTGAGGTCAGTGAAGCTTTTAGGCAGTGACTGGCATATACCAGGCTTAAATTTGGTGACGGCAATATTAGTTCTGGCTTGGGAAATTTGCCTTTAGTGTAAGGAAAACTTTGACGGTAAGAGTGGTGAGAGAGACAGCAGGGCATTTTTCTTGCCTGTTTTTGGCAGTTTTATGCATACTATCAAGCAGAATTTCAGAAAAAAGAGGTATTTTCTGGAAAATAACACCCATTAGAAAATGTCCTGTTTTTTTTTTTTAACTTTTATAACTCAGTTAATAAGAAGGTTTGAACAGATATTTCACGAAAGAAAATATACAAACAGGAAATAGTCATCTGGGAAGATTATATCATTAATCATTAGGAAAATGTTAATTAAAATAAGATACTAAGCCAGGTATGGTAGTATGTTCTGTTTGTTCTCAACATGTCAATTTTGTTTATCTTCAATATGAAATCCTTGCTATTGACAATATTTGGGGGGTGCTCCGTTTCCCTTCCTGCAACTTGTTTTAAGAAACAGGGAATAATGGTGTGTGGGTTTGGCACCATAGAACTTTCAGATTGAATGCACAATTTCCTGTTCTTAACGGGTTTCCGTGGGTCGTAACCGGCTCCTGCCTTTCTTGGGAAGCCTAGAAAGGAAGTGTAGTTGGCAGAATGCTGGGCAGTGGGTTGGGGAGTCATGAGTAATATACAGGGAAGGAAGCACGCATTCACTAGGACTGAATTCAGGTGTTGTTCTTTTATGGCAACATCACAAGCCAATTAAGGCATATGTTTAAGTCCTAATGGTGTTAGGTTAGAAAGTCTTCTCATCGCAGGAAACCAAAAATGTTCCCAGGGGACAGATTACTGACGTTTGCTCACTGGAGGTTAGCCCAGAGATGTGTGTGTGTGTTTGTGTGTGTGTGTGTGTGTGTGTCCGTCCCATAGGCCACGGGGCCGGCGTGAATACCATTTGCATGGAAACTTGAGTCTAAGAGACTTCACTCAGCAAACCAAGGGCTCCTTACTAATTATTTATAAGGGTGAGTTACAGGAATTCACGAATGTATTAGAAACACAAGTCTACAAAAAAAATAGGCATATTATACTAATGATTTTGATGTATTTTATCTTCCTGGTATCTCTTTCTAATTTGATGTTTCATTTTATAGGCCACCATCATTTTATAGGTGATTAATTTTCTCAATCAAGCAGCTATTTAAACTTTTGTTTTTAAAAAGCTCATTCCTGTAAACCCACTATCCTTGTTCTCATAGCTCTTGTTGTTGTTTTCTCAACTGACAAATTATTGTATACAGTTGGCCCTCTGTATCCATAGGTTCCCAATCTGTGGATTCGACCAATCCCAGATCCAAAATATTCAGGAAAAAAATGGATGGTTGTGTTGGTACAGACTTTTTTCCTTGTCATTATTCCTCAAACAATATAGTATGACAGCTATTTACATAGCATTTACATTGTATTAGTGTTATAAGTAATCTAGAGATGATTTAAAGTATGCAGGAGAATGTGTGTAGATTATATGCAAATATTGTACCATTTTATATAAGGGACTCGGGCATTTGTGCATTTTGGTATCTTTAGGGGCCCTGGAACCAACTCAGCTATATTTTATATACAATAAAATATAAAATTGTATATGGAATTGTATGTCCAAATCCATTATCTGAAAGAAAATTATTTTTCTGAATCCTCATTGTTAGTCAAAAGGCGAAATGACTGTCATCACTAGATTATACTTAAATATAGTTTGCAGAGGGTAATTTGTCTTTGTTGTGACGGAGAAGATACTATGGATCTATTTTCAGTACTTTTTTTTTATAATTAAAAGAATCTTATTTGGGTCAAAACTTGTGATTGGAAATGCATTTGGACATCCTTACAGGTAGTCATGAAGGGCAAGGAAAGTATTTCTTTTGGTAGAGGATGGTATGATGCGTTGATATTTCTTTAAAAATTTCATGCATTCTTAAGGGTCGCAGTGGGTATATGATATGCCCACCAGAGGATAAAAATTGGAGTAGGGGGCAAAAAAATCTTACTCTCGTATATAAAGCAGAGATATCCACATAATATATAACCAGATATGTAATATATTTATAGTATTATACTTTCAAAGGAGGGTGATTAGGGAAAATAAAAAGTTGAACCAGGCTCCTAGGTGGGGTAACGATGGAACCAGGTTGAGAAAGACTGCGTGTAAACTCTGACACTTTCTGCAGCGGGCTGGACTCAGAGTTCATTTTCCTCCTCTAGGATGTCATTTGAATGTTAAATGTTAGACGTTGGTGTTGGCTCACATGGTGATCTCTTTTTGTTCTTTCCTCTCTAGAGAATTTGTTGTGGTTACTCATGAGAATCGTGTTTTAAAAATCAATTGAAAAGGTTACCAGTTGGTAGTAACATTTGGCTTTGTCAGTTAAATAGCCAAGAGGAGCTTGAACATTCACCTCAGCTTTTGTATCCTAGGAGCTTGACCACTTCATAAGAGGTGAAAGGAACATGGCAAATGGCTGTGGGGCACAGCGAGGGAGGCCAAGGAGCTTAAATGCGGCTTGCTTTCATTGACAAACTAGCTTCCCACCTACAAATTTGGATTTAAAAAAAAAATGGCATTAGAAGTCTAATTTGAGTCAGCCTATATTATATTACTTAAATGTTGTGATCAAGACTTGAAATTTTAAGACAGCTGGCCGGAGTTAAGAGCTTGTTTGGTCCTGAATCAGAACTAAGCCAAATTGGCCCATCCGGAAAATTGAATCTCTTCCATCTCTGATTTTATGTGGGATAGATTTGTTACTACAGGGGTATTCAGAGTTTAGAGCTAATTATTTCAGAACATACAAGTTATTGGAATACAGGTCCTTTAAGACATATACCTCACTACCATATTTATCAAAGTGTATTTATTAAAATATACTGAATGCAATAGAGTAGCAGCATATACATTTTTCTTTAGGTTGGGGGATGTTTCTTCTACATGATGTTGCTGTGTAGGAAGCAAATCTCTATAGTAGATCTGCTCTCCTTTGCACAGATTATAACTCATAAATTCCTGTGTGGTGAAGATAATGGCAGACGGTGAAGTATCATGAGGTTACCATGGGAAGGATGGCCAGGACCTCATCATGAGCTGAAGGCACTGAATTAGGTGTTTTTTATGATGTGATAATTTTATGGTTACTCATCTTACTCATTCCAGTTTAATTCTTTAATTTTGTCTTTATTCCTTAGCAAATGCTGATGTCTTAAAGGCAATGGTAGCAGATAATAGCGTGTATGATCCTGAAAGGTGAGTGCTCCTTCCATATAATAGGACGCCTTTCTCAGTTATCCGCTCAGACACGATGACATTTGAGATGCTGCTCTGCTAGAGCAGTTTCCCAGCTCCTGCACTGCTCACACTTTGGGCCGGTGATTCTTTGCTGTGGGGGGCCCGCGCTTTGTGGGGTGTTTAGCAGCATTCCTGGCCTCACTCAGCAGATGCCAGCGCACGCCAGCCCTCCTTGCCCCCAAGGTGGGACAACCCCAAATGTCTCCACCTTTGTTAGTGTCCCCTGGGGGCGACAGTCACCCCTGGTCGAGAACTGTTGTGTTAGAGAAGAGTGATGGGAAGAAGTAAGGCTTAGAGCTTATTGGCAAGAACACATCCTTGGAATTGGGAGAGGTGGCTGAATCTCTTTTCTGCCACATACTGGCCATCTGTCCTTGGGCAAGTTAACTGACCACTCTGAGCTCAAGTTCCATCATCTCTAAAATGGAGGGCACCATTGTACCAACTTTATTGGGTTATTATAAGGAATACAAAGTGCCTCGGGCATTGAGAGACCTCTGTGAACTGTGGTGATCACATGAACAACCAGGCTGGTTTGGGGATTCTTGCCAAGTTCTATTTTTATATTATTGTTTTAAGTTCTGATTGTTCAGCTTCACATTTCTTCATAATTAATTACAGATAACTGTAAACTATGTAAGTTTTCATTTCTCCAGCAAGAAGCATTTATTGAGTGCCTGCTGTGTTCTGAGCACTGTGTGCTATTTTAGAGCTGGGTGTTCACAGAGCCTTGTGGGGTTTTTGTCTTGTAATTTACACCTGCTTCTTCCACCACAAGGGGAGAGACTGACTGCCTGGGCTGGTGTTTCCTCTAAGTGACCAGTTCTGCCTTTTCCTTTCCTCCCTCCTGCAGCCCTGTGACCCCCAGCACTCCTGGGAGCCCGCCTGTGAGCCCTGGGCCTCTGTCCCCAGGGGGCACCCCAGGGAAGCACGTCTGTGGCCACCATTTGCACACTGTGGGTGGTGTGGTCGAGAGGGACGTGTGTCATCGGTGCAGGCACAAGCGGTGGCACTTCATAAAGCCGACCACCAAGTCCAGAGAGGGCCGGTCAAGGCGCCAGGGAGAGGTCACCGTCCTCTCTGTCGGCAGGTAGGAGACCTTTGAGTGCTGTTGCTTTGCGTGTGACACGGTTGTGTGGTGTGTGGATTTGTACTTTCCCGTTAAACGTAGAGTATATTCTCCTACGCCTGGCTCGGGTCATATCTCTAGGCTTTTTAGACATTTTCTGGTCTGAGTCCTAGATTTTTCCAGCAACAGAAGAATCCTCAAAATCAGCTATTGCTCGATCAGATGGGGGACGTGTCCATTAAGATGAATACTTGCTGTGACAGATAAAACCCAGATTCTCAGCTGTATACAAAATAGATGTTCATATTTCACCTGCGAAGATCCAAAGCAGGTGGTTGAGAGGTCAGTGAGTGGCTCTTCAAGTAGCTTCCCTGGGTCCCACAGCTTCCCATCTGTGGCTCTGCCTGGTTTGCCAGCAGAAGGAGAAGTCTGTGCAGGATTGCTCACGAGGGCTTTTTAAGCAGATAGGCCTGGGAGTGGCCCATATCATTTTGGTTCACATTCCTCTGGCTAGACGTCAATTGCTCAGCCATAACTGGCAGGAAGCTGAGAAATGTCATCTTGCCATGTGCCGTGAAGAAGAGAAGATATAGATCTGGTCCACAACTCTCCCGTCTCTGCCTCATAAGATCCATGTGAATTGCTGTGGTATCTATCTATCTATCTATCTATCTATCTATCTATCTATCTATCTATCTATCTATCTATTAATGACAGAGTCTCGCTTTGTTGTCCAGGCTAGAGTGAGTGCTGTGGCATCAGCCTAGCTCACAGCAACCTTAGACTCCTGGGCTCAAGCAATCCTGCTGCCTCAGCCTCCCGAGTAGCTGGGACTACAGGCATGCGCCACCATGCCCGGCTAATTTTTTCTATATATATTAGTTGGCCAATTAATTTCTTTCTATTTTTTTATAGAGACAGGGTCTCGCTCTTGCTCAGGCTGGGTTTGAACTCCTGACCTTGAGCAGTCCGCCCGCCTCGGCCTCCCAGAGTGCTAGGATTACAGGCGTGAGCCACCACAGCTGGCCTGTGGTTTCTTTTAGACCACCTCCACTGAGTCCTGGGTTTCTCAGTCCTAAAGTACCCTTCACTTGTGACCCATACGTGATGTGGAGATCTTACAGTTCAAGCAGTGAATCAATCTGACTTTACCTAAAGCATTTTTGCAGTGGGATGCTTTTGCAGTTTCTGCTGTTTGGATCACGAGTCCTATGCAGGAGCTGTGTTGCTAAGGCTGTGTTTGGAAGGGCAGTGGAGAATGGTGGTTAGGAGCTTGCGGGCTGGAGCCGAAGTTGGCAGTGCTGCCTGTATGGTCCTTCTTTCTCTGCTGACAAACCTCTGGAAGGAGTAGCCTGAACTCACTGCATCTACCTTGTTCGAGTCCTGATACCAGTACTTAGAAACTGCAGCCACGCCCTGTGCCTCAGTTTCCCTTTCTGTAAAGTGAGGGTGAACACACTCGCTCACCTCATAGCTTTGCTGTGAAGACTAAATGAGGTGACTGATGTAAAGGTCTTAGACCAGTTTGGGGCACTTGTGCACTCAAGACATGTTGGCTGTTATTACTATTTTAATTCAGTTGAGTTTCATCATGTGTTGCACAAGCGGCTTGGAGAAAACCACAGAGCTGTTTGTCACTTGCAGCAAAACAGCACAACACATGACCACGCTGTTTTATTAAGAACCAGAGTCAGAGGAATTCATGAATGCAAATGTAATGAGAACCTGTGGCTTGTTCAGACAAAGCATATTTTGACTTTCTAAAAAATCTGCTGAAATATTCAACTCAGATTCAACGTGGCTTTTAAAAATGCTCCACATCCAACTTTCTTTCTTGGATATTAGATGCTGTAAACATTTAATTATTATAGGCTGTTTTGGGCCTGTGTTGCTTAAGAGAGTGTCTTTCGGTTTGGCAGAATAGATTTGTGTTCACAGCTTTTCCCTGCTTTTTCTCTCACTGCCAGTCTTCCTCCTCAGGGTTGGTGATCTCATTCTGGACAGAGGAGGAGAATTTATTTTAGAAGTTTTAAGGGAAATTAAGACCAGAACTGGAAAGAAGCTATTATGAAAACTCTAGGGATTTGATGATGATGCTAGGAAAACTGTCAAATAAAGCAAATTTCTTTAGTTTCTCTCTTAATTCTTAGCAAAATCATTAACTTCCTTAATCCTTAATGAAAATTAACCCATTCTTTTTTTTAAAAAAAAAACAAACCCTACACTGCACCACCGACTAATCCTGACGAAATGTGTGTTGGGCTCTTCTGGCTCCGTGCGTGTGAGCTGGCTTAGGCCTGCCGGACAGGTGTCTGCTTTCCCAAGGCTGGCGTCTGGCGCTGCGCCCACAACCCGCTGGTGCCGGCCTGTGGCCTGTTAGGGCGGGCCGCACAGCAAGAGTTGAGTGGCCTACAAGCGAAAGCTTCATCTGCGTTTACAGCTGTTCCCTGTCGCTTGCCTTCCCCCTGCCCCCTGTCTGTGAAAAACTGTCATCTGTGAAACCAGTCCCTGGTGCCAAAAATGTTGGGGACTACTGCTCTAGGGAACCTCCTGTTCATGTCATCCTAATTTGTGGCCAGTCCTACTTTTATCCAGCCTTCTGTGGTTAAAAAACCCTAATGTTAAAACCTATGTCATTGTATAAAAGCACAACCCAGGCTGTTTAATATTTGAGTGTCCATGCTTTTTCATGCATTTTGCAAGCTCTACAAAATATCCAGCCTTGTTTGTGATGCGGCTGAGTGAAAATCAGCTGGAAAGTTTAGCAGGGGACAGGGAGATTTGCTAGGTAGGAATGTCCCTCCTCTTGAATATGTTGTTTTTCATTTGTGCCCTAACTTTTGGCTGAGTTCCTTTGGGATCCCAGATGGATGAGTTTTACTTTATTCATCATTCTCGTTTATTGGAAAAGCAAACCCATCAGATCTCCTCTTTCCTCACTCAGGTTTAGGGTCACAAAAGTGGAACACAAGTCACACCAGAAGGAGCGGAGAAGTTTGATGTCTGTTGGTGGATCCGAAAGCGTCAATGGGGAGGTGCCGGTGACACCCGTGAAGAGGGAACGGAGCGACACAGAGTAGCAGGTGAGCCGTGGTTTCGCCACGTGGAGTGTGGCAGGCAAAGAGCCTTCCTGGGGCTGCGGCAGCACCGGAGAGACTCGCGGGGTGGGGGTGGGAAGCTGCCCGGGACTGGCGGGGCGGGCGGGCGTGACCACGTGTGCAGCCAGAGCTTCTTGTACCACGGCACAAAGGTGATGCCTCAGGGGCCCGGCCGGCGTGGCCATGAGGGTAGGGGCCACTCCTGAGGCGAGTCGGGACTGTGGCCGACTGGAAATCACATCGCCCATCCACAGGGCTTGCCTTACCACGAAGCAGAAAGTGCCTCGTGTTGTTGCTCAGAAAAGGGATAAATCTAGACTTTTAAAATGCAAAATCACCATAGGGTTTTAAATGTTGGCAGCTCATTAAATATCCTTTAAGAAAAACATGCAGGCCAAATGACATGTAATGTTGTCATCATTTTTAGGTAAATTGTGATTTGAAAAAAGCCAGAGCAAGCAAACCAATACTTTTCCCATTAATTGAGTTGGAAACCAGTTTTCTTTGATGTGTCACAATTCTGAAATAGCCTCAGTAGGAATGTTTGTCTTTCCACCAAATATTTTTAAGCAATTGAAAAGCAAAAGTGAACGATTTTGGTTTGGCAATTTTCATTTTGGAAGATACTACTTTAAAAAAAAAACCCAGAACCCAGTAATAAGTTGATATACTGGTTTAGCTTTCATCTTACTCTTTTCTTTCTGTTCTGGCTTGAGTAGCAACATCCTTTTCATGTTTCTTATTTTATGTAAAAAGGCAAGTGTGAGGACCTGGGACAGATTTTTCTCTAAAAGCCCCAGTGAAATCATCGACCCTGAACATAAGGCAGAAGAGTTTACACTTTCAAGGGGAAGGGAGGGTGGGGTGGGGGTGGGGGCGTGGTCAGACGAGGTTGTTACAGGTACAGGGACATAGTGAGGTTGAACCTGAGCCCCAGAGTCTAGCTGCAGGTTCAAATCCCAGTTTGCCGCTCACTAGCACTGGGAGCTGGCCAGTTTGACAGTTTATTTATGCATTGCTGGAAAATGGAAATGACACTACCTGTCTCAAGGGGTGGCAGTGAGATTTCCACGAAGTTACACACATGAAGCCCAGGGCCTGGCATGTAGGAAATGCTCAGTCAGTGTTACAGATTATTATGAGTTAATTCACTATGAGTTAATTCAGCTGGTGTGGCTGAGTGGAGGAGAAAAGTGGCTTTTTGGTGAAGCCTCTCTGATAATCTGCTGGCTCAGAGGGGTTAAGATGCTCTGGAGGTAATCTGGAAGAGTTGTGCTACTGAATTTCCCGAGACATAGGGGCTCTGATAGCTTTCTAATGCTACTGCTTGCAATCTTGACTTTTGGGACCCTTCCCCCGAGTTCGGGAGCCAAATTTAGTTCTGCGTTTGTATTGGTCACATTCTAAGTGTTTGGCAGCCATAAAGGGCCAGGGTCTACCACATAGGACAGTGCAGACCCAGAATATTTCCAGCATCGCACAAAGTTGTACCGAACAGAGAGAGGGGACCATAGATATTAGAATTGAATGCCGAGTGACCTTGGTAAATCAGAGGAGCCTTCTGATAAAGTCAGTGAGAACTCGCCTGTCTGGGAAGAGAAGCTCCTGGCTGTCCAGTCTAAGCTGAGGAAGGCCCAGGCAGTTTAGGTGCAGAGAAAACATGGGCCACAATGACAGCCTGTGTATGAGCCATCATTTGGGCAGTGCCTTGAGAGATGGAGCAGATTGCCCAGCTCGCCCGCAGGTGGGAACGGTGAGCTGATTCTCTCCCCACAGTCAGTCCTGATCAGAGCGTGGCTAACTGGTGCTGTGGCTGATTTGGGCCACCACTGCCTGGAGAGCAGCACTCGAGATATGGGAATGTTAAAAGAATTAGGATTGCTCAGCCAGTTTTCTTGGCCCAAATTCTGTCTGTATCTGGCCATAGGAATTTGGTCCAATTATCTGAAGTCCTGACCACATTTAACTGGTTTACAATGAGATATTTTCTGCAAAGCTCACTGTCATCTAGCAAATTTGGATTTTTAGCTAGGCTATAATACTGAAATGCTTTGTTTTACTGTAGGATCGATTCAAATATTCAAATGCCATTGCATATCTACTCATTGGTTAGACTTCTTTTCTTTCTTTTTTCTTTTTTTTTTTTCCTCCAGGTGGTTGTTATAAGAAACTAGACTTAGTATTCTAGATAGAACGCTATCAAGATTGGGGCAGGCTCTCCCTCTTACTCCTTCTCCCTTTAAAACCCCAAGTCTGTCGTTGGACATCTCCTACCCTGTATTCTTTTCACCCTGCTTTGTTGGCCTGAGTTCTTTTTTGTGGCCAGATTTAAGTTGCCCTCTGCCTGATTTATTTTGGCAATGCAGTTAAAATGGTTCTTTTTTCTACAGAAAATGTGTTTTGATTTCTTCTCAGAAGAATAAGCTTTTGTTCTTTAAAGTTAAATAAATCGAATTGCTTTCAGCCTCCAAATGCCACTGCCTTGTCTTCATTGTCACTGGTTTGTGGCTTTTTAAAAATGACACTGTCCTAAGCATTCTATATTGCATGTTTCTGAAATATGTGCTTCTTTCATTTTATGATAATATTTCTTATTGAAAATATTGGGTTAGTAAGTTTGTATAACCATATTTTTATGATTTTTACTTTAATTATTTTAATTGACAAAAATTGTATATATTGTGTAAAACATCATGTTTTGAAATATGTATACATTGTGGAATGGCTAAGTTAAGCTAATTAACATATGCATTGCCTCACTTATTTTTTGTGGTGAAAACCACTTAAAATCTACTTTCTTAGCAATTTTGCAAGAATATAATACATTGTTATTAACTATAGTCACCAGGTTGTACAATAGATCTTTTAAACTCATTCCTCCTATCTAACTGAAATTTTATGTCTTTGATCAACATCTCTCCAATCTTACCTTCCGTCATCCCTTTTGATCCATTTTTAAATTGGGTTATTTGTTTTCTTGCTATTGACTTGAGTTCCATATATATTTTGGATATTAACTCTATAAGATGTATGGTTTTCATATATTTTCTGCCATTCTGTCGGTTGTCTCTTCACTCTGTTGATTATGTCCTTTGCTGTGCAGAAGCTTTTTAGTTTGATATAACCCCATTTGTATATTTTTACTTTTGTTGCCTGTACTTTTGGGGTCATATCCAAAAAATCATTGCCCAGACAAATATCATGGAGCTTTCCTCCTATGTTTTCTTCTAAAGTTTTATAGTTAATATTTTTCTTATCAAAACAAAATTCATAATATTAGACATTCTTTTTTATTTTAAATTGCTTTATTATTGAGACTGATATTGATTTTTTAATTTTTTTCCCTATTCATTTTCATTTTAATAATTTATTTCAATGATTAAAAGCTTGGTTTTATTTATTTATTTTGAGACAGGGTCTCACTCTGTCACCCAGGTTAGAGTGCAGTGGCATCATCATAGCTCACTGTAACCTCAAACTCCTGGGCTCAAGCTATCCTCCTGCCTCAGGCTCCCTAGTAGTTGGGACTACAAGTGTATACCATTGCGCATGGCTAATTTTTCTATTTTTTGTAGAGACGGGGTCTTGCTCTTGCTCAGGCTGGTCTTGAACTCCTGGCCTCAAGCAATCTACTGTGTTGGCCTCCCAAACAGCTAGAATTACATGTGAGCTAGATTACATGCTTAGCCAAGCTTGGTTTTAAACTTCTTACATTTAATTTTAACTGTGCCCTTTAACTACAATGGTTTTGGGTAAGTTACTTAATGCTATCATGCCTCAATTTTTTCATCTTTAAAATGGGGTTGTTACTGGACTTAAATGACATGATATTTGTGTAGTTCTTCAATCAGGCCTTGGTCCTGAATTAGTGTCTATTAAATATATATTTATATTCTATTGAATAGAATTTATATAGTCTATTAAATATAATTTAGTCTATCAATTATTATAATAATTTATTATATATTATAATATAGTCTATTAAATATTTATATTCACTATAAATAATTTTTGTGCCATTCTTGGTGGTCTTATTAGGCCATTTCTCAAGCATCAACTTTTGGCACTGTGAATCCCTTCTTACTTCTTAATAATATTACCGCTTTGTACTCTCAGGACAGTTTAGAAGTTTGGCAAGTCCCTCAGGAATTTGGATCGTTTTCTTACTTGTGTTAAGGAGGCCTTAGAAATAGCTGTTCCCCTGTTACAGGAGGTAGAGTCAAAATTGGAGACAAGGCCACTGAAAAGTTTTGCTGACTTATGCTCTTTTTATCATAAAGATCAGAGGTTGTGATAAAGGTGTAGTGTAGACTGAGGCATTTGCTTTGGGATGACATCTCTCTTTGCCAAGACGCGACAGGGCTCACACTCCCTCCCGAGCACTGGTGGCCAGTCACCAGTGGGCTCTCCTGACCGTTGGCCGCCTGCGTTTCCTCCCTGATGATGAGGAAAGGCAGCTCCTCTCTCCTTGGCTCAGGGCGTCTAGTGGAGACTCCTTGGGGGCCTCCCTGGTGGGGTGCTGCTTTGTTTGCAGGCTTCTGAATTGCTTTTTTTTTTTTTTTAACTCCCCAGGAAGCAGGTGATAGTGGGAAATGACAGGTACTACTAGTTAGTTTATTTTTTTCTCCCTAGCTTATATATTTTTTTTTCAGGGAAAATACATATTTTTTGAAAAAAGAAAAGGATCTCAGATTGGATGGGAACCCTTTACTTCGATTCCCTGGGCTTACAGGAGCAATGGAACATAAATGTAAAAAAAAGAAACTGCACCTGAAGCAGCACGCATTAGGCCGCCTGGCTGGCCCTTCAGTTGCTGGGCACGTTTCTCTGGGGCCAGCCGTGCCCTGTTTGACGCGCCCATCCCTTGGAGCCGTGTTAAGCGCGGAGGCGGAGGGAGGTTAGTGTCTGTGCAGGACCTGCTGTGCACAGGGCAGGCGAGTAGAACCAGCTGGATAAAGAGAAAAGCTGAGTGAGTGACAGGAATT